TACTAAACAACCTAAAACTACCTCGGGTACATATCTGTAGTACCTGATACGACAACGACCCCATCTGCGTGAGTGGATGTCCGGATGCGTAGCCTGGAGGCTAGGCGACCCGTCCCGGACGCGTAGCCACTGCGTATTCGAAAATGCGCATCTTTACACCTTCGGTCTATCGGACCTTCGGTTTATAGGGCTGTAACCGCTTCGGCCTGAGCCGCCGGGTACGAGCGACAGAGCCTCGTGAGGTACGAGCGAACAAGTTAACTAGCTGTCTCGCACGCAGGACCAGCGCCGGGTTACTCGATGAACCAGCTCTCATCGCAGTCAGGCTAGACTAACATAGCTTCAGCGAAGCTGGCACAACAGGAACAGTGTCAGTGTCGAGTTTTCGACGGAACATTGCCATGCAGTAAAGTCAGAGTGTATTTACACACTGTATACGATTCCGTGATCAGCGCGGGCCAACATTCACACATCGCAGCCAGCTGTAGACCACCAGTTACGGCAGACAAGCTTCCAGAGTGAACATCGGGGTGATACTCCATTAAGAGTGTTCCCAACTCTAATGTCATTAATGGTCATAATAACATATAGATATATATGGTCATGGGCATATATGAGTTTGTGGTTTAATGTCATTTAGGTTAGGGTTAGGGTTAGGGTTAGGATTATAAATCATTAATCATTAATGATATCAAAGTTAGGAACACTCCTAATGGAGCGTTAGCCGAACATCGCGCGCAACGTATAGGCGGATGTAGCCAGTCATCACAGCGGGGACAACGTTGGCACCAAGTAGCGCTGCCAGACGGACCACATCGGGCAAGCCGGAACATAAGTTGCTTGAGATATCTAGGAACATGTGAAATAAGAGGACGAACAGCTTGATGAGCACGAGCAAACTCTAGACGAAATACTCACAAAAAAGAAACTCACTGGTTGAGTGACTAGGACTGTTGAGAGACAATAGTATCTATAAGCTAATTAAGCAGGTGCGAGGATCTCCACCAATTTTTTACGTGGCAAAAGCGAAATAGTCTACCATGTTGATGTACCGGTACCACTTTCGAATTGATGCATTTGTAAAATTTATAAATTGCTAGTATAGACCTACCTTAGTCACGGCCTGTGTTACGTTAAGGTTTACTGGGGGTAATTGGTTTATTTACACACAACAGTCGGTAGTCTAACCCTTACTACTTCGACTAACTGTTTATGTGTCGGCTATAATACCATTTACCATGGCAATGCACGATTACTGATTTTATAGTACGTATGTTTGTATAGTTATTAGTACACATTTTGGATTTTTGTGTGGGAATTTTAAATTTGCATCGCACATTACAAGTCCTGTTAACGGACACATTTCACAGTACGTAACAGCAAATAACGCTCACACAAGTACATTCAGTCAACCCAGCACGCATATACGCAATGGCTAAATAACCAGAAATAAACTGGAAGGCGGGAGACCTTCCAGCTGAATTCAAGCTCTTCAAACAACGTGTATTTACTTTCGGCTTAAATTCCTAGGCGTGTCCTTAGCTCCACCTAGAGAAAGAGCACATTTTTGCTATCAGCGCCACGCTGGCGGCATGGAATATGCAAAAAATTCAAAAAATATGAAAAAATGCGTATCCGCGTCGCCCCGCGCGCATACTACGGGTGATAACGTAAGAGCTTTGAATGTATATCGAGTGGTTTTTAGAAAGAAGAAAAACGCCAAGTTGTTTGCATATAGTTGTTGATAGTGTAAACCCAACAAGGTTACGTAAACCCACAGGCACTTGAAGCATATCAACTGTAAGCGCACGGCACCGCCATTGCGCGTACACTAACACATATATAATACATATAACTCAATATATATGTGTTAGTGTACGCGCAATGGCGGTGCCGTGCGCTTACAGTTGATATGCTTCAAGTGCCTGTGCGTAAACCCAGCATCGTTATGTATCCGGATCAGGTTACGTATCAGGATTAGCATCAGGTTACGTTTATATCAGATTACCTGATACGAATGCTAGATTTACGGGATTGGTTCCCGCCACGACCTACCCTACCATTGGCTGCGTTCGTATGGATATATATTGCGTGGAGAGATGTACTGAAACAGGTGTGTGGCAAAAGAACGAGTTAATCAGCACGCGTAACAGCGTAAATAAAATTATGTTGCTTTTATTTGTTTCAGCTATCTGTGTTGTGCAAGCAGTGGTGGGTTCACCTCTCGAACATCAGTCGCGTGAGTTGTATGATTAATAACCATATACCTATACTATGTACGATTATATATTACCTTATAAAATACTATCGCAAGTTGTACGCGCATTACCTATAGTAATCACCTCACCTCTGATATTGCATGGTTTCAATTTCGGTACATCACTCACCATGATCTGACACGCTCATATTCGTTGGAAAGTGCAGATTCGTTTGGCATGCTACGTTAACCTATTAGTCTACGTTTACTCGGTATACGCGAAAGTGGTATAATAAAGATAGTAGTATATTATCGAGTGGCATGTGCGTGCGAATCGCGCACGAAAATATCCTAAATTAAAGTGGTCTGACTTAGTGCGCTGCTCGTCTTGGAAACTACTATTAGTTATATTAGCAATAGTAAGTGCACACCTCGCCGTGACTCGAATGCAGTGTGATCCCTGATAGGTATGTTAGATCGTTTCACGCACGCAATTTATCTGTCTCGTGTGGAAACCAGCTATCATAACAAATATACATATCGAGGCTTGACGTACCGGTTTTAGTAGCAAGCTCCTACAATGTGTATTCTGCAATACATATCCTGCAATATGTTTCGCGTTTTTATGCAGGCACCGTGTGTCACGACAAGCTTGGCTGCTTCTCAACGGGCGGATCATTCAGCGATGAAGACCCTTGGCCACCGGAAGAAATCGGGACCAATTTTTGGCTCTACACACGGAGAAATCCGGTGGAATATCAGGTAGCACTACCTGCTAGATATATCTATCTATCTGTCTGTCTGCCTGCCTGTCTGACTGTCTATCCATTAATCCATGTATCTATCTCTCTCTCTTTATATATATACGACAAATTTGAGCCATTATGCAAGCATTTTCACAGCAACTAAATAAATAACTAATAAAAACTACTCCCGGTTATCTCTAGTAATTACTGATTGCATTAGTGTAAATCCATCATCGTGTCATTAGTAATAACGTGAGTTCTAATTAACCTATGATCTATGTTAATTTTCGTCTTCATATGCATATTCAGGGGAGCAAAATATCTTTCATACTACTGACCTCGACGCTAATTTATCCATGCATTAACAATAGCAGCACAACCATATGCGGATATCTCGAAAGGTTTCATTACGAACCTTTCGGTATGAAACAAGCAGTAGAAAAATAACTTCAAGATATTTAGAAGTCATAAACACATAGCTATACTACAAATATAAACCGTAGGTTGTAATTGTCTTGTTAGATAATGGACGTCAACGGGGAACACAGCATATCAGCTTCATACTGGAATAAATTGAACCCGACAAAGATTCTCATACACGGCTTTAAGAGTTCCGGATCAACCCCGTGGCTACAGGTAAGAAGTGATGGAGGTGGATGCACTGCACACTGGGCTCTAGCAGCTAATAGCTGCGGTAGGTGAAGTACAGGGTTGTATCAGCTAGCAGGTAGTTTTGGCTGTAGTAACATCGGGACATTGCAGCTGCTAGGTTTGAGGGTTGTAATGTCGCTTTAAAACGTCGTCTTAGCTAGTAGCTATGAGGGGGCATTAGCATGGTGCTATGACAACTGGTAGCTATGGAGCATGGGCAGTAGAATCGGGCTCTGGTAGCTGGTTAGTAGCTAGGGTGGGGATAGCACCGGATGATGGTAGCTGGTATAGTTTTAGAGGACACATTATTATCGGCGATAGATCGATAGATCCGTATATCAGCTGGTAGAGGCAGATTTGGTGCGTAGTAGAAGCGTGCTGATAGAAAGCTGTACATGGGGTTACACTCGAGTTTGCCGTACGCGCTTTCGAGCGTAACGCCAATCATAGTCACACTACACACGAACCGCTGTCGCAGCGCTGATGTCCTACGCTTCTATGTCACAGGATATGCGCGACAAGTTACTGCTAGACGACGACTACAACGTGATCGTCGTCGACTGGAAAGAAGGCGCCAGCGCTGGCCTGCTGCATATCGACTATTCGCAGTCCGTCGCCAACACCCGCGTCGTCGGTGCACAGATTGCACAACTTGTCCACTTGCTCACGGTAAGTTAAGTAAAGTCAGTCGCCGTGAGTAAAGTTTGGTTCAAGTTACAGTTACATAAATAGTTTAACGGTTGACAGTTGGAAATTAAGCAAAGTCATCGTATGTCAAGTTATGTAAAGTCACCGTAAATAAAGTTATGTAAAGTCACCGTAAATAATGTTAAGTAATGTTCACATTAAGACTTAATAGTTTAGTATAGTAGTAGTGAATTAGAGGCACATGACGCGGACGATAGCCGCCTAACGTACAGCCAACCACCTATACGCTGCTGCTAGCCTATAGGTCAGCCCACCACGCGCGCGCCCACACACACACACACACACACACACACACACACACACACACACACACACACACACACACACACACACACACGCGCGCGCGTGTGTGTGTGTGTGTTAATTTTCCTATGCGCCAAAATATAAAGCAGGATTTAATTAACGGATGTATATTTAGTTATTTGAAATTAATAAACATCAGTTAATTCAATCTTGCTATGCATTATATATATATATATGCTCAGTGCTCGTCTGTATGTATAAAAAAGGGCAGCTACGGGGCCAGTGCGTCCGATTTCCACATCATAGGCCACAGTCTCGGAGCGCATATCGGAGGCTATGCCGGAGAACGCATACCCAACCTCGCCCGGATATCTGGTACGTGGTCGTCACTAACGGCAACCCGAAAAGCGTTCGCAGCCCATCATAAACAGTTAATAGTAAATGTGGAACGCTAACACGTCAGTATTCACCTATTATGTGTTTCACTTTTGAGCAACTTTATTGTGGCTCTCGTGCGCGCGCACGTGTGTGCCCGCGTGTGTGCGCGCGTATGTGAGGGGGCGAGTATGTGAGGGGGCGCGTGTGTGAGGGGGCGAGTGTGTGAATGTGCGCGTGTGTGTGCGCGCGTGTGTGCGCGCGTATGTGAAGGGGCGCGTGTGTGAGGGGGCGAGTGTGTGAGTGCGCGCGTGTGTGTGGGCGCGTGTGTGAGGGGGCGCGTATGTGAGGGGACGCGCGTGTGTGAGGGGGCGCGTATGTGAGGGGACGCGTGTGTGAAGGGGCGCGTGGGTGAGGGGGCGCGTATGTGAGGGGGCGCGTGTGTGAAGGGGCGCGTGTGTGAGGGGGCGCGT